GGCAAAGAAAATTTGCACCGACAGTGGCAAGAGTTGGTGGACGTTTTGAATGCCCTGCAGACTGAGACGAGGACAGTAAAACAATGGAAACAGATGTGTAAACAATTATAATAAATTATAATTATTCATAGATTTTTTAACATTTGAGGCTCAATAATATTCATAATTCTATACAATAATAATATTCAAAGATAATATATGTATGTGTATATATATATATATATATATATAAATGAAGTATGCACGATTTTATATAAACAATAGCTTTATTTAGTACATAATCTAAAAAGATATATAAATTGACAATTTTGTTAGCTGCATAGTAACCGCAGCGAGCATTCATTGAATATATGGATTTTACAGGTTGTCGCAGACTGGAAATGCCGGGTAAAAAAGCAGTATGCTGAATTAAAGAAAGACTTCACAGCTGGAGGTGGGGCTCCGGTGATGGAAAACCTCACAGATCAGGAGATGCGTCTCCTAAATATAATGGGCATGACTGCAGCAGATGGGGACGAAGGGCTACAGGAATACGGCTTGGAATTTGAAGTATGTTCGTAAAAAAATACTTATTTTTTACTTTTTCACCTACTATAATTTGATAAACATTCACTTTCTTTCTCTGTACGTACGTCTGTCTGTCTTCCTTTCTCTCTACTTTTCCTTCTATAATTTCAATACTTATTTATTTTAATTCAAGTAAACAATAGATGTTTTTTAGTAAATTTGTGGTATGTGTTGTCGACATCACAACTTTTATAGTTGAAACCGCTCGACTTCTTGTTCCTTTTTTCTTTTTTTCTTTTTGTTCCTTTTTGCAGTATACATTCATTACTGACAAATCTTATCCGTTAAATCTTCAAACAGTAATTGTTCATGTTCTACAAACCTTGATATGTATTGTCGACGTTGCAAATTTTTACTTGATTCGGCACAACCTCGATTAATGATGTATGTGTATTTATAAGTATTATTCATTGTCAGTTAATTACTAAAGATTTCGTAGTGCACCATTTTTCATAAAGTAAAGTATATTGTAAAACTAAACAATGTACTTTTACGTTTCTCACGACTTCAATTTTTCAGAAGTCGAGCGGCCCTAACTAAAATTTGTAATGTCGACAATACATATCAACGTTTTGAACATGAACAATTATTGTTGAAAGATTTAACAGCCTAGTAATTGCCATGAATGAAGGTATATTGCGAAACTGAATAATGTATTATACATGTTTAATGAATTAAATTTTTCAGAAGTTGGGTGATGTCAATTATAAATGTTGTGATATAAACACCACATACTACAAGTGTACTAAACAACATAAACAATTATTGTTTAAAGATTTAATGCCTGCATTAATTACTCTTTTCATTTGGTTTCAGGAGACTGACGAAGTTATTGAGGTTCTCTCCGCAGAGGATACAGAAAGTCCGGGTACCAGCCGAAATAAGAGGCCCCGATCTGCCTCACTGCCGAACCACTCGGAGTCGTCCAGCCAGCGAGCGCGTTTATCTTCCGAGTTAGTGGACAGTATTAGTGAAATGAACAATAAATCTTTGAGTGTCCTGAATGACATTAATGGAAATTTAAAGCGAATCGCGGATTGTTTGGAAATTATTGTGAAACGCGCGTTTCCGGAATAATAAATGATAAATATACAAATACATGTTTATAGATGTGTATATAACAAAAAGGCCATGTAATATATTACAGAAATAATCTATACATATTATATATATATATATATAATAAAAAGTTAACAACAAAGTAACTCAAACACTATATTAAATTCCTTTATCGAATTAATTAAACGACAAAACTCTTATTGCTAATATCAACGCTGTAAATAATTTAGTATAATTTATAGAAAAATAAATGTGGATTTGTGGGATTGTATACGTATATATGTATATGTATACATGCATATATATTTTTTTTCCCTGTATGGATTAAAAATTAATATTGTTTATTGAAAATGCAAGTTAATTAATCTTTGTCTGGCCTGCTGGCCACTTGCCAAATCTTCTTCCTGCATATTT